TCTCTCTCTCTCTCTCTCTCTCTCTCTCTCTCTCTCTCTCTCTCCTTCATCACCTCCTATTCCACAACAGTTTTATTCTCTCGTTCCCATCTATTTCATATATTCATATTTTATGCCCTAAAACGCTATAATAAACTAATGAAAAAGAACTATTCAAAGGGTTTCTACCACTTATTCAACTTCATCTCTTCCTCATCATTGAAAGATAGTCTGAAACCTATACCTCTTTATTATATTATATAACTTATTTTTCTCTGCAACTTTCTGATCAAATCACCAGAATATTCTTTGATCGATAATTTCTTTTAAGGTTTTGGCCTTTTTGCGATCTTGTTTGTCATCATGGGACAAGAACCAAGAAGGCTCTCAGATGAGTACGAGATCTCAGAGGTGTTAGGCCGAGGAGGATTCTCAGTTGTGAGAAAAGGAAAAAGAAAGTCGTCACCGGAACAATACGTGGCGATCAAAACGCTGAGAAGGATAGGCCCTTCAACTCCGTTGTCGACGACGAAAAACCGCGGAATGGCCACCGGAATATTCCCTACAGCCAAGCAGGTGTCCATCTCCGATGCACTTCTGACGAACGAGATACTCGTGATGCGGAGAATCGTCGAGAACGTGTCGCCCCATGAGAACGTGATCGACCTCTACGACGTCTTCGAGGACGACCGGAGCGGCGCCGTTCACCTGGTGCTGGAGCATTGCTCCGGCGGTGAGCTGTTTGATCGGATCGTGGCCCAAGATAGGTATGCCAAAAAAAAAAAAAAAACAATATGCTAATTTTTGAAATTAGAGAAGTGTGCTAAACGATTAATAGACCATTTACAATCTATTTGAGAGAAATAAAAATGAAATTAGCATATTTGATGTTCAGTGTTTTATTCTGTGATTTAATGTACAATTATATTTTAAATATTATATTTACTTTTGTTTTCAATTTTACACTTGGAAATTGTAAAAAAAAAAAAAAAATTTTAAATAATGTAAAGTAGCAATGTTATCATTATTATAGAAAAATATTACCAAATGAATTTGTGAGAACCAAATATATACAATAACATATCTGCTAAATTTAACACCAAGTATAACATAGGTGCAATTTGGCATTTAGTGTAACATTTCATTGCAATATCATTTTTTTTTTTTTTGGCAAATGGTAAATTTTTGCATTGCATTGGATGTATATGGTTAGAGTGATACGTAGCAGTTTATGTTTGGACAAATATGAATCATTATTTTTTTATCATAAAACAAATATAGATAATTATTTATACATATGTCAAGTCTTCAAACGATAGATCATAGAAACCTTATTTTATATAATAAGCAATTTTTCGGACAATAAACTATGAATAAACATTAAACCAGAAGATTAAGCATTCTTGATTTTTACATTAATTTAGATTAGATATAGATTGCGTGCGTATAAAGTAGGGAAGGATGATTAGTTTCCTGTTACTTCATTTTCAATTCTAATGAAAAATGACTTCATCATCACTTAGCATATAGGATAAACTCATAAGAAAATTTCACTAAATCACTAGTAGTTAATTAGTTAACTATCACAAAATGTGTGACACATAATTCTTATAATTAGGTACTCCGAGGCCGAAGCTGCAGCCGTCACAAGGCAGATCGCGGCGGGATTGGAGGCTCTTCACCGGGCGAATATCGTGCACCGGGATTTGAAGCCGGAGAACTGCTTGTTCTTGAATGGAAGTCAGGATTCTCCGCTGAAGATCATGGATTTCGGATTGAGTTCTGTGGAGGAGTTTACTGATCCAGTTGTGGGGTTGTTTGGTTCCATCGATTATGTCTCACCAGAGGCTCTTTCTCAGGGAAATGTCACTGCTAAGAGTGATATGTGGTCATTGGGTGTCATCTTGTATATTCTGCTCTCCGGGTACGCTATTATTATAGTTATCATGTTTTACAACATGTTTAAATTTCTCATTGTCCACCCTTAATTACACAGAAAATACAAAATAAAAAATTAAGAAAAAACCGTGAGGAAAAAAAAAAAAACCCCATGTTGCAACTATTAAAATATAAAACTATTGTTAGTTTACCTCATAACAGCTTAAGCTTTTAGGATGAATTGATAAATTAATATGGTATCAGAGCAAGAGGTTCTGGGTTCAAACCCTCATAATTACACTCTTTATCCCCATTTAAAATTATCATCATGTGTTAGGTCTTTAATATATCTTGGGCTTAAATATTCACGTGTTGGGCTTTCCAATTAATTTACCTACACGATTGTTCATTGTACAACCCACACGTAAGGGAGAGTGTTAAAGTATAAAACTATTATTGACCCACCTACTAATATCTTAAGCTTTTGTGGATTGATTGATAAACTATCAGCAACTACTACACTTAATATTTACTTCTAGTTATACACTATCATTTCAATTTGTTTTTTTTTTTGTCTTTACACTTGTATCTATTTTTTTCAATTTAAAAACCAAATGAACAAAAAATTAGAGTACACTGCTACTTTAGTTCATACAATTGAAGGAAGAAATACTATATTTTAATAAGGACAAAATAAAGACATAATTTTTAAATAATTTATTATACTGTTACTTTATTTTGAAATTTTCTGTTTAACTCATGCGCCTGAAACAATTTTCTTGGGAATATGTTGCTTCATGTCAAACAAAAATGCATTCTGTTTTTCTTCGAGTGATTAATAGTTAGATCATACCGACGTATCTAAATAAGGACGTTGAGCAAAGAAAAATCACATTATGAGGTTGTTAGTTACTTAGACATGTTCCGGTATATCTAGTAACCAAACAGACTACTTATTTAATCATTCGTAGATACTTGAATATATTACACTGAAAATCTTATACTACCGAACTTATTATAATGTTGTCCTGACAATTTAAATAAATTAAACATTTTTAAACTGTCCTACACATTCTTTATCTGATTTATGTAATATTGTTTCCAATATAAATGCAGGTATCCACCGTTCATTGCCCAATCAAATCGGCAAAAGCAACAGATGATAATGGCTGTAAGTCGAATTTTTAATTACTTATAGATGTTTGGATGTTTTCCCTTATTTCATTTTATTCGTGATTTTTTATGATATTGCTGGTGTGGGATGGGACTAAAAATATACTAGTTAGATGCCAAATTGGCTATCTGGTAATTAGGATTTTTTTTAGTTCTCTTGATGCTTGAGGTTATTTCTTTATATATATATATATAATTTTTTTTTCTATGGTCTATCCAACATTAAAAGTAAAAAATGTAACATTATAACTACTGACGTAACGTTGGCATTAGAGATGTATAACATAGTCAATGTCATGGACGTTTGGTACTCATGTATTCATAATCATGATTCAAAACTATTCTCGTTTTACGTGTATTTTTTGTGAGAGAAAAATACTGTAGAGAACTGTGAATCATGATTCATAATCATGAACAAATACAAGAAATAAACATTAATGTCTGACATAAGATGTCATGTTAAATGGTTGTCATGTTACATTTACTTCTACGTGTTATTAGCAACACCCTTAATATGTATACAACTAAAGATAAAAATAAAAATAAAAATTTAACTAGATGTTATGGTATAGTTGGAGTTTTAATTTTCTTTATGCTTCCAATACCCAATTCTGTTTTCAGAGAAGGAAAAAAAAATGGTGCAATTTTGCAGGGGGATTTCAGCTTTTATGAGAAAACTTGGAAGAATATCTCTTCATCAGCGAAGCAATTAATTAAGAGTCTACTAACAGTTGACGCTGAAAGGAGGCCCAGCGCTCCAGAGGTATGGTATGCTCCAGTTCTTTCTTTCTTTCTCTCTTTTTTTTATTTTTTATTTTTATATATTCTTAATTAATATCATTACTTAGTACTTTATTATCATTGGCATTTTTAATCATTGGCATTTTTAATAAAAAGGAATCTTGTTTAACAAGGAACAGCTACAGGCAGGAGCTAGAATTTGAGGTTTTGTTTCAACTTTCAACTACCAATAGTGTTTGGGACAGTCATTGAGTAAACTGACGTTTAGTTGGAGGATTCAAATAATGTGATTCGAACAATTTTTGATTTACGTGAATTTTTTGTGAGAGAAAATACTGTAGCGAACCATGAATCATGATTCGAATCAGGAAACGAATCCCTCTACCAAACATAGAGTTTAAAATGATCACTTTGTTTGTGCATTTCTTAGAGGAATAAAAATGATCACTTTTAAAATCTTGTATAGGGAGTTGTTTGGATGGAGGATTCGTACCCCGATTCGAATCACGATTCGTGATTCGCTACAGTATTTTCTCTCACAAAAAATACACGTAAATAAAAAATGGTTCTAATCTCATGATTCTAATCCATGAACCAAACTTTATGTAAATGTAATAAATTGTCAATTTGTCCATACTAAGATAACATCATTTCGGATATGTCCGTTTCATGCGAGTGGTTATGAATTTGTTTATTAGTGAATTCATATAACTGATTTTCAAAGTGATTAACAAAGGGTGAAAAAGTCATTATAGGTTTTTTTGGGTTCGGTATCATAATAGAGTGGTATGCCGGAAGCGAACTGTTACAGACTTTTGTACTGTCAATATTACAACTTGTGTATATCTATATATATATATATATATATATTTCTTATTTCCAGCATAATAGATATATATATATATATATATAAATAAATCTTAAAATGGAAAGTATATTGTTGAGTGCATACATAGTGCAGAATTGAATAATCATTCTTATAGATTTAATTAAATTCATGAATAGGTAGAATTTAACTTATGAGTAACGTCTTGCATTTTCCAGGAAAAAGTTATTAAAAAAAAGAAAAAAAAAAGAAAAAGATACGTTTGATGTACAATTAGATTGAGAGCCTGAGATTGGATAAGAGTAAATCTTTTGGTGCACATGATAAGGAAGGATAAAAGAGACCGGATTAGGATTAGATTTTGATCCCCCTATTTGGCCAAAAATTTGAAAAGACTCAACTGTGTAAGTTCTTACCTTGCGCACAATTAAAATCACTGTCATAGAAAAGTACTTAAAAAAAAAGAATGTAGGAAGGAATTTGGAGGTAACAAAATTAATGTCTCTAATCTTTTCTTCAGATAATTTATCTTATCTTAGATGGTTCAGATTACTTATCATGTTGCAAATTAAGTACCAAATCTAGGTTTGATTTGTATTAAAGGGAGAGAAAGAAATAGAATCTGATCCTATTTCCTGGTTGGCAATAAACTATGGCAAGTTAAACTGATTAGTTAAATACATGTCATGTGTACTTAATGGAGCAGCTGCTAGATCATCCATGGGTGAGAGGTGATTCAGCCAGGGAAGATCAAATGGACGCCGAGATTGTATCCCGACTTCAAAGCTTCAACGCTCGGCGCAAACTTCGCGCCGCAGCGATTGCCAGTGTCTGGAGCAGCTCTATTTTCTTAAGGACCAAAAAGCTCAAATCTCTACTTGGCTCCCATGACCTTTCACAAGATGAGATTGAAAATCTCAGGATTCATTTCAAGAAAATGTGAGTTAACCAAAACCCAAATATGCATACATTTACTTCACAATTTTCCAACTTATTCTGTATCTAGAATCTGGTCTTAAACCTCAGACGTGTTAGTCAATATGAACTTTCATTTCAAGCCAAATTTGCTGTTGCTCATCACTATATGTCTGTGATTGAATCACAAATTAGTAAATGAGTATGCTGTCAATGTAATGTGAAGACTCTTGACCATTTTCCAAAATAAAATTAGCATGAACTGAACTCAAGTACATTAGGGTCTCGTTCATTTCACCGATTCGAGTTTAGAATTTGAGTTTTGTTACAGTAAAAAGCTCTCAGAAACAGTCACATCTAAGTTTTTTGCTACAGTAAAAAGTTTTAATATAAAGTCACATTTTAACTCGAATCAACGAATTAAACTGACATTAGTTGTACAATAGCTTGTCTTTCGGATTCTAATCCTGCTAGAGGAAAACATTGCATATCTTGGCAAATTGCAGATGTGCAAAAGGGGATAATGCCACTCTATCCGAATTCGAGGAGGTGTTGAAAGCAATGAAAATGTCGTCTCTATTACCGCTAGCAGCTCGCATCTTTGACCTGTTCGACAACAATCGCGATGGGACAGTCGACATGCGAGAGATACTTTGCGGCTTCTCCAGTCTCAGAAAATCGCAGGGTGACGATGCTCTCCGCCTGTGCTTCCAGGTCTTTAACTGAATTCTCTGCTTTTTATAAGCAAAACTATCATCTTGTTTTGTTGAAGTTTCTCTACCAAGTCTTGCAAACTCGCATATAAACTATGCATTCCAGCTATGTCCTAAAAAATACTTGGCATCTAAACTATAGCACAATAAGTGCCATCTGAAATGACATATTGTGATGCAAAAGGAACTTCTCACCATTGGTGGAGCCACTTGAAAGATGAGCGGCGGCAGCCGTCCTCACTCAAATTTTTTTAAAAAAAATATTACCTTTAAAAATTTTAAAATTTTATACTTAAGTCCCTACTGAAATAATATATGTCCTTATTAAAATAAATATATTTTCTTATATAACGTTATTAAGATAATTTATTAAAAAAAATTTAGTTAACATTCTCACTGAAATAAAAGGTTGACTCCGCCGCACTAACCTCACAAAGTAGATATATACATATATAAAAAGGCCTTTAGAATATGGGCATGGCAATAGATATCCTTCAATTTCACACACATGCTGACACACTGCCACACTGCATTGACTGGGAACACGTGCCCCCAAGTCAACTTTTGAAATTTGAATTTTTACTCGTAAAATTTTTAGTTATAACCCCATTTTCATAGAAAATTATTATGCCCCCACTGCATAATTGAAGTATGTTGTTTCTCCATTTTGTAAGAAAAATTATGATTGTACTCTCACTCAATAATTGAAATACATAATTATATCTCGATTCAATAAAATACCATCTCTAATTGGTTTTATAGCGCCACTGAAAAATACTTCTGGTATATATAACCCTTATTTTCTTTGTTTCTGTCAATAGATGTATGATACAGATAGATCAGGATGCATCACCAAGGAAGAAGTAGCTTCCATGCTCAGGGTAACATCTTTTATCTTTACTAGTTTCTATATTTTGTGAGTTGGTTTTGCACATAAAATATTAGAGAATATTATACTCATCGATGGATCGCGTGACCGATTGATACCATGTTGCAGGCCTTGCCTGAAGAGTGCCTACCAGCAGATATAACTGAACCTGGAAAACTGGATGAGATATTTGATCTTATGGATGCAAATAGTGATGGGAAAGTTACCTTTGAGGAATTCAAAGCTGCCATGCAGAGGGATAGCTCACTCAAAGACGTTGTCCTCTCCACTCTTAGGCCGCTATAAACTCTACTTGTGCGTTTGGTTGGTGGATTCGTTCCATGGTTCGGATCATGGTTCGTGACTCGCTACAGTGTCTTCTCTCACAAAAAAATACACGTATCGAGAATGATTCTGAATCATGATTCTGAATCCATGAACCAAGCGTAATAAGCATTTTCATAATTTCCTCTTTTTATATCTTGTATTTCTGTAGAAATAGGTCATGTTTTAGCGGCCAATAGCACTACTGACCAAATTATGGACTAAGGAGTGAAATGAGTCATGACACTCGGCAAGAACATTTTACCTTATTGTAGGAACTCTCTAGGGACATACTAAAGAATAATGTTAAGGGGCATCAGTAGTACATCTAAATATGGGTCTACAATCTACATATAGGGTTCAACGCTTTATTAATTATGGTGTTTGACGCTGTTGACACTCTAAGAGTTCGTTTAGTTCGATGATTCGAATTTTTAATTTGAGTTGATATGTGACTTTATGTGAGAGCTTTTTATTATAGTAAAAAAGTTAGATGTGATTGTTTCTGAGAGCTTTTTACTATAACAAAACTAGGGAAGAGAGATAGAAGGAAGGAGAGCTCCAATGTATTATTTGGTTGGAGGGAGAGGAGAAGGAGCCGTCATAAAAAAAATGAAGAATTTTCCTAATTAGGGATCGGTTTCTCACTTATTTTTCATAAATTTCAATATCAAAAAGCACATTTGAAGTATTGAGAACCTAGGCAAAACATTTTTAACAAGCCACCATTTTTCCTTTGTTATTTTTCCTACTTTTGTCAAGAATCGATTTTAGTACGTTTTATCTTTTCATAAGAGGTTTTTTCCTTCAAAAAAATTTCAATTATTATCTGAGCAATTTAAGTAATTTACTTTGTTTAAGCTATAAGATATTATTAACTTATCCTTAAAAAAAAATTATATTTTTAACTTGCACCAATACATTCTGGTTTTTTTAGCATTTGCAGGTTAGACACAAAACTTTTAGTGTATGTTTGGTGTATGGGTTATGCAACAGTGGAAACCTATAGTTTTGATTCTGTTATAATGTTTTTCTCTCAAAAAAATTTAAATTTCGAAAGTCATAATCAAAAATTCTGATTTGAACCCATATACCAAGCAGGCCTTTAATTTTGACTTTAGGGACACGAAATTCAGAAATCTTGACAAATACTCCTAAAAATATATGAGTATTGATTTTTATTTTTTACTCTTAAATAATATTTTTTAGTTAAATAACTATATTAACAAAAGTTTATGAATTAAGAATAAAGATAAGACTGATACACTTTTAAATATAAGTTTAGTAATTTTTCAGGACAAAGATCTTCGTTTGGTTAGAGAATTCGTTCTCTGATTCATGGTTTGCTATAGTATTTTCTCTCACAAAAAATACACGTAAATAAAAAATGGTTCTAATCTATGAACCAACCGGGCAAACGTAATTGATAACGTACGGATGATAATTAAGGTCCTAACTCCTAAATGTCAGTTTTTTTTTTTTGCTAAAATCCTAAATGTCAGAATTTAAAAGTTAATGGACTAACTTATTAACAAATGAAAATTTTCAGGTGTATTTTATTTGAAAATTGTGGTGCATTTCTGTTTATTAATTGACATGGGTTAGTCGTTGGATCACAGTTGCAAGGAATTCAAAATTTTAAAACCTATTTACTAGAAATTAAAATTCTGGGTCCAATTTACCGAATACCAATAAATTCATGATATATCTGCGCAAGAAATCCTAAAATGAATCCAATTTCGTCCGTTTCTCGTCATGCAAATAGAAATCTAGAAGAGTCAATTTAATATTTTCTCCGATTCTTTTTTTAAATTTAAAAAGAAGACACAGGTACTAACATACATGTGTATATATATAGACATGATTTTAAGTTCGGCGGTCACACAATATAATAGGTGTAACATTTTTCATATGAAAAATTAATCTGATTAGTGCTTTTAAATTTTAAAGTCATTTTTACTTTGTTTCTTAAATTTTAAAAATTTTTATTTTACTTCATAAATTTAAAATTTATCTCATTTAAGCTCTTTTATAAGAATTTCTGTTAAAATTAAACGGAAAAAATAACGGGTTAAGTGTGATTATGTAGTTTTATTTGTTTGACTTTAACATAAATTTAAATAGAAAGATCATGTGACAATATTACTCTATTTTTTTTGTTTTTAATAGAAATTACAACAAAAAATTAAATGTAAATAATTTAAAATTTATAGAGTAAAATAAAAGTTTTTAAAATGTAGAGTTCGTTTGGTATGATGATTCAAACCAAGGTGATTCTAGTTTTGATTTTGAAATCAGAACTATGATTCATGATTTTAGGTCCAAATCATGGTTTCGAAACCAGAACTAAAATCAGGGGTTTGAACCATCCAAAATTAAAGGGATGCAATTCTTGTAAAAGGTCCCTTTCTTCTAAAATAGAAAACCTAGTAGAATACTCTTATATTCCAGAAACTGCTATAGTAGAAGAGTCAATCCCTCCTTTGTTGAGTCCATACAATGTCTTCAAAAGACACCGTCGTACCATTAGACAACTTATCTCTAGTAACAGACCCACTATTAAAGAATATGTCCAGTCCTCTAAGCTTGATAAGTGTCTCGTACCCAGTACCTCTCAAGAACAGTATATTGATCTGGTTTAAAATATCACATCATGGTTTAAATCTTGAATCAAAATCATCCAAACTAAACACTGATTCTGAATGAGTCAAATCAAAATCACTTTTTAAACAAACATTGATTTAAATCAGAATCATAATTTCGAGTTCTAGAATCATTATACCAAACGTAAAGTTAGTGAGCAAATTGAGAATGATTTTAAAGTTAATTCACCGGATCAATAGGGCCGCCTTTTTGCATTGAAACCTTTTCGGGTTGTTCTTTTGCTATGAAACTCAGAAAAAATTTAAACTCGAGCTACAACTTTATTCAAGTTCATGTTCTTTTATAAAATTTGAGTTTGAACTCGAGTTCAAGTATCCCTTTCAACTCGAGTTCATAAACTCGAATTCAAGTTAATGAACATTATTTTTTCTATTCTTAAAAATACCATAATTTTTTCGTTTTAATTCTGATTGAGATGATTTTTTTTCTATGCATTCACAACGAAAAGATGAATAACCCCACCCATATTCCCTATTAAAAATTTTCATCACCATTGAGTTTTTATTAAAATACTATATAAATATAAATTTAAGTTTTGACCCACCCAAACACAAACTAAAATAGATTCTCAATTCAAATCATAACTCAAATATGCACATCCAAACACAAACTTAAGTTACAACTTCAATTCAAGTCATAACTCAAACTCAACTCAAGATCATCACTTAAGTCACCATAACTCAAAAATGCAAAAGAACAACCCCTTTGGGGGCGTTTAGTATGAGGTAATCTCAAAGATGGGAATGAGAATCTTTCAGATTCCCATATTTGGTACATTATTAGATATTTTTAAAACCCAGGAAAGTGAAGCCCATGGGTTTCACATTATCACATTTTGAGGTAATTATAAACTCACCCAATAGGGTGTTATTTACTTTCCCATGAAAGTAATATTACGGGAAAAAATTATATATCTACCCTAACATTTCTCTCACCTATCTCTTATCAGACCCATCTCGCCCATCTCTCGTCCAGACCCAGCACCGCTCT